AGTGAGTAATTGAACTGCAGTCACAGCGTATTGTTGAAGTTAACGTTCGCTCGTTACAGTGTTGTTTAAGCGAGAATTGAGATTAAGTGTATCGGTAAAGTTGTATTCGGAAATAATAAACCAGTTTTATTAAGTAAAGACTTGTGTCGTTAAAGTTTCGTTGGAACGAAGTTACGGAAAAATTAATTAACAAGCGGAGACGTAACAATATTATTTATTTTCATCCCTACATACTGCCAATTTAAAATCTGGACCTGACTTCCCAATATGCTATTTTTTTATATAGACTAACCCCCTAAATAATGCAGCCCCCTTCATATTTAGATTTAGGCCAAGGATATGGGCACAGCTGCTGTTTCCTTAAATGAAATAAAGCTATAGGCACAGTATACGTAAATGTGACCATCACAACCATAAGCTCCATATACTATCTATTATATATAGACCTATATAGAAGATAACCTAACTTTATGAAAATATACTTTTTATGTACAAGTGCACTCATCAATCAATGTTTATTTACAGAAAACTAAGAATCAGGCCTAACTTATATGGTAACTTGTAGTAAAGCCAGTTTGAAGACTAAAGACTTACTAAATAACTATTTCATTCAGTTTTAATTATAAATGCCAATTGCCAAAGCCGCTAGACTTGAAATAGCCATGTTTGTGCATAGAATATATGAATTGGCATATTTCTTAAAATTGTAGATCTATGTGTTCCTCATTATGAATAAGCACAGTGAGCAGCCATGTAGTTTGTTTAATTTGTATGCAAAATTATAAATAATCCAACAGTCTTTGCAGGAGGGTGTTAAATTTGGCAAGACTTTTCTTGTATGATGCTTTTGAACATTCTGTTTGTCATAGTTCCTATCTATGTTTTAGGTTGGTTGACTAGCATCACATGATACCTGTCATACTGGAATAAAAATTAAACTTAGAAAAATTTCCAGGAATAAGTACAAGATATTATAAAACTTGTTTGTTTGTTATTAAGCACAAAACTACACATTGGGCTATCTGTGCTATTGTAAAAATTCTTAGTCTTTTTTTTTCTACTGAGCCACCTCCAGTTATAAAGGCTGTAGATTGACCCTGTGTAAGCACTCTGGATTTTGGAGTCAGCAGCCACATTCAAATTCATATTATATCACAAAATAAACCTCAAACTTTAACCTGTATGTGCAGTATAACTATTATAGTCAAACCCTTAGTTTGGTAGCAGGGTTTTGCTGACTGGCTGATTTCTGCCTGGTTAGTGGTTTAAAGCAAGGGATGACCACAGATAACTTTATAATTCTATCTCGTAAAATATATTTACAGTCTAATTTTCTTTTTAATTGAAAAATTGTTTTTTGTTTTGTTTGTAATTAAGCACAAAGCTACACAATGGGCTATCTATGATCTGCCCACCATTGGTATCGAAAGTTCGCAGACATGCAGGTGTCCCACTGGAGGGCTAATTGAGAAATATCCAGCTGTAATTCTGTCTCTACATTCTGTCTCTCTGTTTATGCTCTACATTTCTTTTTTTCACCGTGTCACATCCAGTTCTAATTACACATGGTAACACTTTTATATAACCTAATTTCCTTTTTTCAGTAAGCCATGTCCAATTATAATTGTGTGGTTGTAAAACTTCTATACAGTTTAATATTTGTTTTGTCAACATCTTGTCACAATTCTGTCTTGTAAAAGGTTTTAGTCTTCTTTTTCACAGAGCTATTTTCATTTATAATGCTATCTGGTAAGAATGTTTTATGGGCTAATATTCTCTTTTTGTGAGCCATGTTCAGCCATAATTTATTATATTAAAATTTTTTATGGTCTTTATACCTTTTTTTTTAAAAAGCCATATTCAGTTTTAATTCTGTCTGGTAATTTTTTATAGTCTACTTTTATTTTTTATTCTGAGCCACTTCCAATTATAATTCCATGTTGTAAAACATTTTTTTCAGGTTTTTGTATTGCTGTATTCTTTACAGTAAGTGTCTGCGACTTGTTTGCAATAAATTTCAACAATAAACAAACAGCAACACAGTCCACTTATTGTAAAATAATACATTAAAACAAGTCAAATGTATATACAAACTGTTATTAAACTGTTAATTACCACAGTTGTATCCAGAGATTTAAATAATTGTCTCCTTTTTTTTTTGTCAAAGTTCATACAGACTGGTTCAATTACTTTAGAAAACAATTGACAAGAACTTGAAAATAAATTATTATTTTCTTCCCTGTTATTAAAATATAGTCTGTGATAATTTTACTTTAAAAATTGCCACTATACACTTTATTGCTAAACTCACAATCATACAGTCTAGGTCTTTTGAACTAAATTTTCAATGCTTATTTTTACCCTGACAGAAGTCTAGAACAATCGACACACTTCTAGATATCATGATGCAATAATACTCAGTTAAAACAATGAGAAAAACTCGTAATGGTTCTACTAACATGATGCAATAATATAAAAAAATGCCAGTTCACAACAGTTGAACTATACTATGTATGAATCATAAACAATTATGTCAACAAGCTTGCCATAAACTACCGCTTCTAAGAATAATTAAGTTTAACCCTCGCACTTTGTTAGCTATCTAAATAATAACTCTCACATTAAACTCCAGCTGAAACAGTCGTGTATATTTAAGACATTTTTTATAAACCATGTCAAGTTATGATTCTGTCTGTTTTTACTTTTTCTCACAGGTAAACATAACTATTAAGAAACACAAAGAGCAACAAAACAATTTTTTTTCACTAAATCATAGATTGGAGAAGAAAGAACAAGGGCGAACTCAAGTTTTATGACAGCAAATAACAGAAAGTTATATTCCTAGCACAAAAGTTAATAAAGCATTTAATTAAAGTTTTCCTGCCAAATCAACTCTAGAAGAATCTGAAAAAGAAAAGAAAGTTAAAACTCCTCCATTGGGATGCTTGAAACTCGAGTACCTTTCAAAGAGTTCAATAAAGAAGAAATTGTCAGGTATGTGAAAATTACCTACATGGCATCATTTAAAAAAGTAAAATTAATAAATAATTGACACTAAACTTCATATTTGACATGTTAGCAACTTTTTACTAACTGATTTTTTCTGTACAAGAAAATATTTTCAAATTAATAAATACACTAAAAACTGAAACATACTGCAAGCTTATAAACAGTAATGTATCTACCTATAGTCAGTTAATTGCTCAAGACTGAGTAACGCTATGTGACAAGTTTTTAGTTAAGTACTCTATCAATTAACATCATGTGGCAAGCTTTTAATTATCTTGTTCATTATGTATCTAGCCTTTACTTAAGTAGCTCATCATTATGTAATGTCACATGTCAAGCTTTTAATCAACTTGTTCATCATGTATCTAACCTTTACATAGCATAAGTTCTTGAATAATGGGCAAGTACCATGAAGATTGGAAGTTGGCTAATGGTATTCCTCTATTTAAGGGAGGTGATAAAAATTGTCCCAGTAATCATTGGCTTATTAGTCTTACATCAATGATAGGAAATGGTGTTGAGGGTCTGATAAAAATACATTGCAAAGTCATTTAACAAAGTTTAAAATTTTTTTGAATAGTTAGCATTTTTTTCACTACAGAAAAGGGGAGAATTTTGCCTCATTAATTTTGACATTCCCTGAAGAAGTTATTAATTATGTAGATGAGGATTTTCAGAAAGAATTTGACAAAGTGACACATAAAAAGCTTGTTCAAAAAGTTATCTTAGGAGATGTAGGAGAAAGGTTGGCTTGTTGTATAGAAAACTGTTTAGATGGAATTAAGCAGAGGAATGTTATAAATGAAGTTCAGTCAAACTGTATTAATGTCACAATTGGGGTACCTCAGAGCTCAGTGTTAGGACTTTTGCTCTTTTTGATTTACATTAGTGACATAGATGAAGGAATGGTCAGTAAATTTTTTTAAATTTGCTGGTGATGTTAAGGTCTTGGGTTTTGCTGGCTGTAAGAAGAATCTTGCTATTTTAAAAGAGGATTTGGATTACTTGGTGAATTGAGTGAATAAATGACAGATTGGTTTTAATTATAATAAATGTAAGTTAATGCATGTGGGATGTCACAATTTGAATTATGAGTATAATTTTGATGGGAATAACTTTAACTGTTATGGAGGGAAAATATTTTAGTGGTTCATCAGTCTCTTAGGCCATCCAAGTGGCAGGGTAAACAGAATCTACAGAAATACTGAATGCATGTGTAAAGAGAATATAATGTCATTGTATAAGTCATTGGTTAGTCCACATTTGGAGCACTGTGTTCAGTCTTGAGCTCTTTACCTTAGAACAAACATTGAATTATTGAAAAGGGTTCAAAGGAAAGCTACTAAATGATACCTGAGATGAAAAGATTGTAATACAAGGATAGGTTAAGACGTTTGTAATTGTTTTCTCTTAGAAAAAGAAAAGTTAGAGAAGATCTACTTGAGATGTTTAAGATTGTTAAAGGAATTGATAGTGTTCATACATCATCTTTTTCCATATTTAATAGTAATAGCTGTAAGACTAGGGGACATTAATATAAATCTTGGCAGTGAAGAAGTCATTTTCAGTTAAGACTAAGTGTGGTTGGGCTTTGGAATGGGTTGCCTTCATTTGTATAGATGCAGTCAATTTAAAGAAGTTTAAGAGATAGCTTAATAAACATTTGAATGATAAGAGCTGGCTTTGAGAGTTTCATAGTTTTATTTTAAAGTTTATATATTTAAGTTATACCATTGCTAATGATAAGTAATGTCCAGTATTGGGCTTCTAATTACTTAGTTTAGTTTTGTAGAAGAGACAACACATGAACTTTCTATAATTCTTTGTAGGAGAAACAGCCTAAAAGTTGTAAGAGTCACTGCAAGCTTTTTACAACTAAGAAGGAGAGAAGAAAGCATGTATGCAGAGTCGTATTACAAGTGGTATTCTAATTTACTGGCTGAGATTGCATCAGAAAAAGAATTTAGAAATCATCAACACCAACTTCATATATTTGAGGAAATACAGGTAATGGAAATAAAGGATATAGTTACCATGTAGTAAAGTGGCTGTACAGTATCTGATTACCATGCACTAAAGTGGTTCTACTCTGTCTGGTTATCATATAGTAAAGTGGTTGTATAGTATCTGATTACCATATATTGAAGTGGTAATACAGTATCTGATTACCTTATAATAAAAGAGGTTGTACAGTATCTGATTACCTTATAGTAAAAGGTTGTATATTACCATATAATAAAGTGGTTATACAATATCTGATTATCATATAATGAAATTGTGATACAGTATCTGATTACTATATAGTAAGTTGGATGCTCAATATCTGATTACCTTATTGTAAAGTAGTATCATTTTTGTAATTAGATTGATTACGCATACTGTTGTGTAAGTAATTTGTACATGAAAATTGAAATGGTACTTTATTGTTGTTTTATTTTTGTCATTAGCCTTTATTCATAATATTTGTCTTATAACTATACTCTAGGATAATGATGTGGAATTTCTGTTTAAAAATTACAGTGCAGATTTCAGAAACTTCTAAAACTGTCACTAAACACCAAGAAAGCATATCGGCAAGAGCAGATTTGGGATGCTCACATGATGGCCCAAGAAGCCATCAATGCAGGAATCCGGGAAAGCCCAGATGTACAAGAGCTGCCACACCCCAATAACAAAACTACTGGCAAAACAAAGAAGAAGAAGAAAAAGTAACTTCACCTGTGTAATCAATATTGACATTTCAGTCTACTTCAAATTAACAAAAAGCAGCACTAGTTGAAGTTTATATATATAAAGTCACTGTTTTCTTTAGATCAACTAGATAAAGGACTCCCACTACAAGGTGTCTTCTCAGAGTCAAAATCGAATAAACATTATAACATAAGGAACTTTTTCATACAGAAAGTATTGGGTTTATTCATTACTTTCCTGTGTTCTTTTATAGTTTGACATGCAGTGGTATTGGGATTATTGGGTTTATGTTTTAAAGTGCTTTTGGACTATTAGATTGACATGCATGTTTTATGTACATACACAAAAAATATATATTTTAAAAAGCACAGAAGATGCAAGTTGTGTAAGTTAGAAAAAACACTAGATATAATGGTAATAAATTGTAGGAAACCTTTAATTTGACACAACATTTTGAGCCTAAACCTTTCTGCAGATGATGTCTGTTAAAGTCATATATACTGACACATTCGAATATTATTAAAAAATGTAACAATAGGAGAACATGAGAAGTATTTACAACAATACTGTTGAACCCATTGTTGTAAAGAAATAATGTAAGTGAAAGAGAAGTAGAAGGAAAAGGTGTAAAGAAATATAAACCTGATATGTGTTGTGTAATAGTGGGAAAAAAGAACTTGGTTTTGGTCCAACTAAAAATAAAGCTGATGAATTTATATCAATTGAAAACGTTGAACAATTCTTCAGAAGGATTTGCCTGCAGGTTCATTTCAACAAGTCAGCACCTGATATACTCCCTGGTGGTCAAATCTATTCAGATACAAAGGTTTGCACCCAGTCTGATTCTCCAACAACTTCTGCATTTGATAACAGCAGAGACATATCCTTCATGTTGACCCAACTTAATAAGAAACCAAGCAAATGGATGCCATCATTGGGAAAATGTTCTGTAGTAGATTATTTCATTTCCAGTTGTTGCAAACAAGTATATAATATTGACTACTTCATTTTATCACCATCAGACAACCTATCTAAGGAGGAACATCAAGTCATCTCTAACTTAAAATCAAGATGTGACTTTGTAATAAAACCTACTGATAAAGGAGGCACTACTGTAGTCTAGAACTCTGAACCCTACATAACTGAAGCTTATCCAACACCTCTTCTTACCAACCTGTTACTAGTCATGATCCTCTTCGTAGTATACAAATCCAATGAACTGACACCATAAACAGAGTAATCAATTAAACAAGTTTTCCAGCTGATGGACATAATCTTATTCAATCATGTCCTAGGATGTCCATTTTTTACCTAATACCAAAAATCCATAAACCTGAGACTCCAGGAAGACACATAATTTCTGCTTGCAACTCTCCACAGAACTGATCTCTAATTGTTTTGATAAAATTATTTTTCCCATCTTGCAAAACTTTCCTTCCCATGCTAGAGACACAACACATACTTTTCAGTCAATTAACAATTTTAATATCCATACAAACTATTCTGTCATAATCTTCACAGGTGACATAACATCTCTTATTCCTCACACTGAGAGTTTACAGGCCCTAAAGTTCTTCCTTGACAGATGAGATACACTTGTACGTTCTACTGATACCATTTTACAGCTTACTGAACTTGTACTAAGTCTGAATATATTTATGTTTAATGACTTTGTTTATAAACAATTATGTTGTGTTACTATGGAAACCAGGATGGGACCTTCATAAGCAAACCTGGTAATTGGCTATATGGAAACTCAGTTTTTTTCCCCCACTTTAAATGAAAAATTCCGAATTTGTATGCCAGGTATGTTAATGACATTATTGGCTTATTAATTGGCAATAGCACTGAACATAACTTTATTCATTCTCTTTCAGCCTTTAATCCTTCTTTAAGCTTTACCTGGCACATTTCTTCCTGCTGTCTTGTCATTTCTGGACATATAAGTTATCATTGATAACAACAAAGTGTCCACTACTGTTAATTATAAACACATGGATTCTCATTCTCACTTATAATTGGATTTGTTTCATCCCTCCCACCACTTTACGTTCAAATCCTTACTCACAGTTCGTGTGTTTACATCACATATGTAGTGATGATGATTTCATCTCCAAGTCTGAAGAAATGAATGACTTCTTTTCCTCTCAAGGCTATCCTAAAAAAATCTTATGAAAAGCTTTCTTTAAAGCTAATTATAAACCTTCTAAGAATACTCTTGAGGCATTGTCGCAAAGACGATACATAACAAGCTTACTTTAACCATTTTTTATCACTCATTTGTGTCCCTTCAAATCACCAAAACTATCAAGGACAACTTTCACATACTTCAAACTAATACTGACACTAAGTGTATTTTCAATGAACATACTGTTAATTACTTTTAGATGCAATCAATCCTTTTGGAACACCCCTATTCCTGCTAACTTTACTCAACCTGATACTCTTTCTGGTTCTTTCACCTGCAACCAACCATATTGTATAATGTTTCAACACATTGTTAATCGAATTTCAGTGACATTTACCAAAAAATCGTTTTTACATTACAAATACTTTAATATACTGCATTGTTTGTGACCTTGCTGTATGTTGGTGAGACTAGTCACAAATGACACGTATTAAATCGCAACCTTGACTTATCAATTTCAAGACACTTTTCAGATAACAAACACGACTTGTCACATCTCAGATTTATTATTCTAAGATCTACACCAACAAACTATTATTTATGTGAATAACACCTTATTTATACTCTTCGTATGATTTTTCCACTTGGTTTAAATGAGAAATTTTTTTTTGTAACTTTACTTTTGATATCTTCCGACTTTTCCTACTATTACCCCCTCACATATCAGCTTTATATTTCTTTACGTATTTTCCTTCTGCTTCTTTTTCACTTACAACAACTGATTCACGGATATTGTTACATCACACTTCTAACCATGCTTTGCACTTTCTCGTATTGTTACATTTTATAGTAATATTCAAATGTATTCTGTATATACTACTTTAGCAGACATCACCTGAAGAAGGGCTTAGGCTCAAAATGTTTGGCAAATTAAAGTTTTCCTAGGTTTTATTACCATTCTATATAGTGTTTTGTTTCTTTATTATACATGTTTTACAGTACCATTGGGACTGTTTGAGATTAAAATCCATGTTTTAGAGTGCTAGTAGGGCTGCATGATTGACATCCACACATTAGAGTGCCTTTAGGAATGTTTAAGCTTCTTAAGATTTTCAAACTCTAGACCATCCAGTTTATTAACTACTTATTTAATGTTATATTTTCATGTGTCAGAGTTTTGTATCAGCACCTAATGGAGATAAAATTTTACTCTTTTATCTTGTTCTCACTTGATGAATGAAATCACATTTTATTTATTAATAATATTTTTTTATATAATCTACAAATTAAAATTTAGAATAATGTCTTACTTCCACTTTATTCACTATTGTACCTTTCATCTAAAGTCCTTTTGAAAGCACATCTGTAGTGTATATTTTTATAATTCTTTAGCCTTACACCCATTTTATTCACTAAAGTACTTTTCATCTAAAGGCCTGCAGACATAATCACCTTTTAAAAACATATCTGAAGTGTGTATTTTTATAATTCCTTAGCCTTACACCCACTTTATTCACTGCAGTACTTTTCATTTGAAGTCCTGCAGACATAATCACCTTTTGAAAACATATCTGAAGTGTATATTTTGATAATTTCTTAGCCTTACATCCATTTTATCCACTACAGTACTTTTCATCTAAAGTTCTGCAGACATATATCAAAGTTAAAGAAAAACGGCTAACAACTATGATTTCCTGGCTTAATTCGAGTATTATATCCAAGATAAAGAAAAATGGCTAACAAAGGTGATGTTCTGGCTTAATTAGAGTATTATACTCTGCCAGATATAAAAGACTGTCTAGTGTAGGTATTATTAATGTATTTATTTTGTGAGTGAATATTTCATAATTGTTTAGTGTGTGTGTTTTTTCATAACAAGAGAATTAAAAGCAGTTATTTTAAAGGCAATGGTTATAACAAGTTTGATTACGTAACTCGGTAAGAGTCTTACGATGTGTTTGTGATTCAGTGATTTCGAGGCTATCATAAGTTGTGTTCACAATCCATTGATGTTGAAGATATAGTAAATTTCTAGAAGGCCTAAGTGGTAGCCCTATAAATAGCTGCAACTAGAAGAGCAGAAACAGAGTGAGTAGTAAAAGCAAAATCACGCGAAAGATATGTTCGGTCAGAGAAAAGATAAACGTAAAGTTAACCATCATGGGAGTGAAAGGCCAAACAGTTGATATGTTAGAGCGAGATTAACAGTTTTGAAAAATATAAGGAGAATAGGTTGTCTCGTCAAAAAGTGATCTGAAGTAATTGAACCCGCCTCTGTGGACTTTGACGAAAGGTAGATGATTCTTGGAAATTCGGGTAACAGACGATTTTTGGAAATTCAGGATACAACTGCCGTAAATCAATGACAACATAAGTTAACTGTACACGAATACTGTTGCGATAAAAATAGAGAAAAATAGTTCGACTTGTCAACTGAATTCTAAAGCAATTGAATTGGCCTAAGTGGACTTTTGACAAGAAGAAGAGAACTGTATTGTGTTTAAGATACAACTATGATCTCCATAGTGTAAAGAATTTTGTAAATGTTTAACTTGTTTCGAATATATATATATATTATTTTAATAACAAGTGGAGTGGAGTGTTATTGTCGAATTTATCACGAACAAGTCACAGACACCTACTGTAGAAGAATCTTTAGCCCAACACACCCATATACTTACTATATATACTACTAAAAATAAGTTCCTGACGTATCTAAGATACAGAAAAACGGCCAACAACTATGATGTACTGGCTTAATTCGAGTATTATATCCAAGATACAGAAAAATGGCTAACAGTTATTATGTCTTCGCTTAGTTCGAGTATTATATCTAAGATACAGAAAAGCGGCTATGATGCCCTGGCTTGATTATTTCTTTATCCTTGAAAAGAAAAATTTACGAGTTTTGCGGCTGGTAGAAGGCAACACTTTACTAAATGATAGCTACTAACAGTCATTTCAAAGAGTAACCTGAGATGGTTATGAAGTAATTTTACCAAGTACATAAATGTATATGTACATATTTAAAACAATACACATGTGTGGTCCCACATGTATGTGGAAACATTAAGTGAAGTCATCCATGTTTGTGTATAACATGAATGAATCATTTACATAAAAACACACAGAGTAAGTCTCGTGTGAAGGAAATAAAGAATTTGATCTGAATGTAAGGACTGCAATATGAAGTTAACTATGATTATTAACGTGTTAGGTGTTTCTTGAAGATATAGCATACCTATTATTTTCATTATTACTCTTGAGATAATGTTTCAATTTCGACATTGAAATATACGGCAGGTGGTGAATTTTCATGGAATGATGAGAGACTCACTCTTCATTTGAGAGAAAACACAATTCTATCTGTTCTTTTCTGGTAAGACCAGTGAAAAATATTTCGATTGTTTTGAGTCAAAATTATCAATAATTTAGGAAATTCAGAAACGGTAGCTTAAATATCATTGCAAATATAAGCTCTGTGTATTTAGTAAAGCACAAACAGGTTGCTAAATAATTTTTAACGTCATTTAAGTAGAAGTAGCAGTATAAAGTGCATGATGCAGGCTGTAAGTGAACTATTAAATAGGCAGAAAGTAACACCCACGTGGTAAAACTTGTAAGTCGCACCATAACTACTAATAAAATTTTAAGCAAGAAAATCCCTAAAAAAAACAATGAAAGTGTTGATGGATCATCACTGTGAAAAGTAAAGGTTAATGTAGCTTAATCTGGGTTAAAATACATGTGTAGGATCCAGTTTTACAGTAAACATGTGGTTCATCTTTATGAGAATGGCATAAGAGGGCAGCATGGTTGAAAAAGGAATTTGTCAAGCAGAGACCCAAAGAGCCCTGTGAACTGGGCAGTTCATGGGAACCAGGGATATATGTTCTAGGGGCAATTGGAGGACTTTTTCCAGTTTGTCTCTTTGTCCACCTTTCGAAAGCACTCGGGTTGTGTATCTTTGTACTTTTCTACTATGATATATTTTTGTTAAAGAATTTTTGATCATTTAGCACATTCCTTTATTTAAAGGTATTGTGTTGTAATTTTTGTAAAGTATTTCTTTGTTTGAGGATATTTTATTGTCACTTTTGCATTGTATTTTTTTTCTTTGTTCAAGGGCGAGATAGAGTTAATGCAATCACTGACTAGCACGAATCTAAGGTTTATTGGTTTTAATTGTTAGCATAATAACAAGCCTGAAGTAGAAAAGATACGATATACCCTGTGTCTAACTTCTTGCAATAACATAGTATTTATTCTTTGTTCTGTATATGCAGGTTTCAGATAACACATTGTTGGGAAAACCATTAAGCTGATTTCGTTCTGAGCTATCTTTCCTCCTTTGTTGTTCTCAGAAATTGATAATACATGTTACCACCCGTAGAGGATATTGTTCAATGACATATTATTTAAGAATGTAAACAGTAGTGTTCTTGAATGGTTGTTCAGGTAATATCTAGAGGTTGTGATCTCGCCTATGTTATAACTATAATGACCAATCGCATGCATAACGCTAGTTGCCCTGGGTCAATGTGAGGTTTCTTTCATGTTAAGGAACGTTGCATTTAGTCAGCCTGGACTGTAACATCATTTGGTTAGTATAATCTAGAACTTAGTCAGTCCTGTGATCCAGTAAAGGTGATCATCACGTGTAAGTAGCAGAAAGTACACACACACCACGCTGCGTTTGTATTTAATTAATTAAGATTTTGTATTACACTTTATGCCCAGTCCCACTGTTTAATTTTACATCGACTCATTTAGTCAGAGACGCTGTATTACTGCCTGATCAATATCTTAAACGAATCCCCCGTTATCTAGCAGACTTACGTGTACAGGTCTAACAATAAAGAACGGGCACTGTGGTTTTGAGTATTAATAAAGATTGTTCATTTTGTACATTAGTTTGTGTTCATCCTCTTTCTTTCACAGACTCTGGAATTCAGTAGTACTTCGTAATAAATATCTTATGAAACCTTCAATTAAGCAGACCTATCTCATTGCTCTAGCTGTTTTAGTTTTATCTGAAAATACCACGTTGTCGATTTTGATTAGGTAGGCTAAAGTCTTTGAAAACTCGATTGATGGGCTAATTTTTGTGGCAAAGGGGTGCCTATGGCCATTTTTGCTGGGTGACTTAACTTTCCATATCATATACTTTTGTTTTAAAATACTATATACCAAAATCACACGTTTTTAAACAAACTCATTGACTGGCAGTTTTCATTATAACATATACTATACTGATGTACCTAAAAAAAATATCTTAAGAGATTTTATAAGGAATATCAGAGTCGTTAGCTTGTTTGTTTGTTTTTAAGCACAATGCTACACAACGACTGTTTATACTGAAACTTTTATTTCATCTCAAAACTGACATAAAGTAACAAACACATTTCAAACAATGTTTCACTACAGCTTACTCAGCATCACCAGTTGTAATAAGATTTAACTTTGAAATATATATACTTCTCAAAGTTAGAAAAGACATTGGATATATATATATGCATTACAGTTAAAGCATATTTAACACAAGAAAAATGTATGTTCCAGAGATTAATCATGCAAGTTTTTTATGTCCAAATCCCGAAAAGGACCAATTGCTCTGAATTATGATTTATTACAAATGATGGTAATTTAAAATGGTTTCAAAGTCCAATAAATGAACGACCGGAATCTTGAGGAATAAGAGAAAATATGGTGATCTGATAACGAATTTCACACTTTACTGAAATAATAACAAATTCAATGTATATTTCAAACCCACCAAGAAGTGTTACTTTAATATTAGCAGGGGTCATTGAGTTTCATGAAGTTATTAATACTTTACTGTATAATTATATGTCCTTTTCATGAACGAAACAAGAACATCAATTACTAATTTCTTCACTGAGCTATTTCTAAAAACCAAATCAGCTAATGAAGCCGCATTAATGATATTCAGATGGGATGTTGCATCCAGAACAGCGTCTACTAAGTTTCTTTTCTTTTCATACGGCATTTCTTGTATGACTTCAACGATAGACTTGAACTTGCCTATTGCATTGTAGCCTGTTATACAGCCACCAACTGTACCAACTAAAATATTTACCAAGTATATTATTGAATAAACAATAACATATCCATACAAAAACTGGACAACACATAATAGTAACTAACATGCCAAAGTTTCAATGTCCGCTTGGTATGCTAGGCTTAATCTTATTAA